TGAGTGAGGTAAGCCAATCACAAAAGAACACACATGGTATTCACTCACTGATAATTGGATATTAGCCCAGAAGCTTGCAATACCCAAGATGCATCTCACAGACCACTTGAAGCTCATAAAGAAGGAAGACCAAAGTGTGGGTGCTTCGGTCTTTCTTAGAAGGAGTAACAAAATACTCATGGGAGCAAATATGGAGACAAAGTATGGGACTGAAACTGACGGAGGGGTCATCAGGAGACTCTTCCACCTGGGTATCCATCCCATGTGCAGTCACCAAAAGTAGATGCTGATGAGGATGTCAGGAAGTGCATGCTGGCAGGAGCCTGATATAGCTGTGTCCTTAGAGATCTGCCAGAGCCTGATACATACAGAGGCAGATGCTTACAGCTAACCATTGAACTGATCATGAGGTTCCCAATGGTGGAGTTAGAGTGAAGACTGAAGGAGCTGAAAGGGTTTGCAGCCCCATGAGGAGAGTAACAATACAAACCAACCAGAACTGCCAGGGTCTAAACCACCAGCCTGGGAGCACATAGGGAGGGACCCATGGCTCCAGCTGTATATGTAAGGGAGGGTGGCATTGTTGGGCATAGGTGGGAGAGGAGGTCCTTGGTCCTGTGAAGGCTGGGTGCCCAGTGTGGGGGAATTCAAGGGTGGCGAGGTGGGAATGGGCAGGTGGGTGGGGGCACATCCTCATAGAAGCAGGAGGAGGAGGGGGGCTGGGATAGGAGGTTCCTGGGTGGGAGGAAATGGGGTAAGGGGGTAACATCTGAAATATAAATAAAATATCCAATTAAAAAAAAAAGATGTAGAACTCTCAGCTCCTCCAGCACAATGCCTGCCTGGAAGACTGCCATGATAATTGACTGAACTTCAGAATCTGTAAGTAAGCCCCAATCAAATGCTGTTTATTGTAAGAGTTGCCTTGGTCATGGTGTCTCTTTACAGCAATGGAAACACAAACTAAGACACTTCCCCTTTTTACTTTTTCTGTTTTGGATTTTGTTGTTGTTGAAACAGGGTCTCCCTGCTTTCAGACTCATGAGCCTCCTCTTTTCTCAACCTCCCTGTGCTGGTATCTCAGGGATGCAGCAGAGTGCTCAGTTAACACCCCCTTTTATTGTTTATAGTCACTTACTAATGTGTTAAGTTTTTACTTCAAAGGATATTTTATAAGCCATAGGTACCCTTTTGTTCCTTAGATATATATGACTAGTTAGCTACTAGTTAGCTATATATAACTAGTTAACTAGTTAGGTGTTAGGACATACTTGCATATAAATCTTTTTTGAGCAAGCCATGTTGTGCCCTGTATCACCATACTGGCTTACTGGAAACTAGTTGCTTTATATTTCATGTGAATCCCCTACCCCCACTAGCATTTCTCCCCTATACCCTTGAAAATATGAACAGTACTCTCCTTGAGGAAGAGCCTCATTGAGCACTGTTTCATTCAAGATGAACCCTTACACTCAGTGTGATTCCCCAGTGTGTCAATTGGAATAGTCATATGCATCTTCAGAGACCTATTAAATGGCCAGAAATCTCTGATAAAAAAGGTTTCTCAGAAGCTTATGAAGTTATTGTGATTATCATTATTAGATTTCAAAGTCTTGCTATTAAACCAATAAATCTCTCCTTGACTTGTTTCACACTTTGTCCTTCCCTTTCCTTCTAGTGATCTTTGTACTGAGGGCAAACTGTTAGAAAGGCATTGGAGTTTCTTGACCTCACAGTCTGTAAAGTGCTTTGAAATGAATACAGAAGCACACTGTCAAGGAAGGGTGGGAATTAGGCTCTGGTTACAAAGCTCTTATGCGTATTCAAGATGTAGTATTTTAATCTTTGCAATGACAGCAGAAAAAATTCTAATGGTTTATAAGGAGAGTTTGTATGCCTGTGTGTGCTAAAGTGTTATGGTGCACTTGTATATAAATCAATATATTGCAAATGTGCAGTCCACAATGAAAAGGTGTGTGTGTGTGTGTGTGTGTGTGTGTATACACGTGTACTTGTGTTGCCATTAGTTGGCTCACTAGAACTTTTTACATTGAAGATACCTAATCATTTATAGATCTTGGAGTAGGAGAGAAACTATTTTCTAGAAGATACTATAGTTATACCTTTTGTCATTTACAAAGTAGTTGGTGAGTGTGTATTTGCCTGTTAGTGTGCTCATACGTCTGTAAATGCATGAGTGAGTATCCATGAGCATGTGCATGGGTATGGTGCGACGGCCAGCGCTTTGAAGTTGCCATCAGGTTTCTTCTATTATTCTACACTTTGTTTTTGTGGCTAGATCTCTCAGTAAAACTGGAACTCACAGATTTGCTGTACTTGCTGGCCAGTGATCTTCCAGTGAGCTTCAGTGAGCTCCAGTGATGTTCCAGTGAGCTCCAGTGATCTTCCAGTGATGCTCCAGTGAGCTCCAGTGATGCTCCAGTGATGCTTCAGTGATACTCCAGTGATGCTCCAGTGATGCTTCCTTCTCAGGCTCCCCAGCACTGGGGTTACAAGTGCACTCTGCTTTTTACATGGGTGCTGGGGATGGAAGTCAGGCCCTCATGCTTGGTCCATCACATAGATCTTTAAAAGGCATTAATGAAAGAAAGAAAAATTTAAAAATTAATTTATAAATGTATAAGATTGATAAGAAGATAACTTTAAAATCCTCTAGGAAGTACAAAAGATCAGCCAAATTCTTTGACTAAAAATAACATTATAAAAACAATTACTAATACCTTCTTAATTTACAAGTCTAGTATGATTTTTCCAATAAATACCATTGCTTTGTCCTTTTAATTAAGGAAACTTTGAAGTTAATACATACATATAAAATCCAAAACAGCTAGGGAAAGTTGGCTAAATAAAATAACAAGGGAGAACTAGTTTTACCAGATGTAGGAACATATTATAAAACATATTATATATTATAAACATATTATAAATTTTATATATATATATCTATATATAAAATTTAAATAGATTAATTTAGTATATGGCTGAATATGCTAATCAAATGCAAATGACGAGAGTTGGTCATAGTAAATCATAAAGCGTTTCTGAGACTCTTATGTGAAATGAGACTAACATTGTTAGCCTTCGGGGGCGCCTGGAGGAGAAAATATACAGTGCTTCCTGATTCTGCTCATTTTGATGATAATTCCAAATTCTGGACTAGGCGTGCTTCCTCCACACTCCTTCAGCCCCTGTGTATGCCACTGTGAGCACACTCACACATGTCTGTATGCCACTGTGAGCACACTCACACATGCAGGCGTCTGTCTGACTGTCTCCGAGGCTAGTTTCTCCTTCTTGTTCATCTGTACCTACGTAGTACACTGCTGTGAATATTTAGAGGACTGAAATAATTTGGGCACTTAAATTTTAATACTTTGAAATGAAATTTCTTTAAAAACGCCAATTTTGGCACTATGTGAAATCCATGTGTAGCACCAACACACGCTTCCATTTGCATGAGTTCCAGGAAGACTTGAGGTCCTATGTCCTGTCAGAAAAACCCACCACTAGATGGGGCTCTTGATCACTTTAGTAACCAGGGAAGGAAAAGAAAGGGCTTGGATTTTCTTTTTCTTTTTTTTCACTCCTTTCCTTCATTATCCTTCCTTCCTTCCTTCTTTCCTCCCTTCCTTTCTCATACCACCCTTTGGGCTAGGTATTGCTATTCCTACATTATTCCTATCATGCCAAGAGACTAGTTGTCTTCTGAGGCCATGCCACTAGCACGTGGCAGTATTGTAATTTGAACTTGATTCTTTAACCTGGATCTATTATATTTTCCATGATGTAAAATTAAGTAAATACATCTGAAATGTTTTACACAATCTACACATGGAGTCAATAAACAGTAGCTACTCTTATTTTATATCTGAAGATCCTCTCTTGAGGTTTTAGACTGACCCATGCATGCAGTATTAAAGCAGTCCAAAGAGTTCATCTTAGAACTGAACTTTATGACTGCAGTGGCTCTAGACTCAGAGTCTGTGTTGATCAAAGCTCTTCCTTCAAATCATCACCTCTCCTTTCCTTAGGAGTAGTTCTGAGTAACTGTTGGCGTTCTGCTAATGACAGTGCAGTGACGTGGTGGCGGCATTTCTCTGGCCCTTCGTGACTGGAGTACCTCCGCTGTTCTACTTGCTTGAGACTTCAGGGCTGTCGAGCTATGTTGAGCTATGTTGTTAACACTCAGGGAGTATAACTCTTGGCTAAGCTCCCTGAAGATTGATTGTTGATTCTTTGTCCAGGATCCTTCAGTTTATGTAGAGAAGAGGTTTTTATTCTCTTGTGTACAAAGGTTCAGGGAAAGGTAGGCTAAGCCCCCTGGATTTAGTTCTCTGACTCTGATTGATTTACAGCAAGCATAAGGTAAAAGGAGCAATTTGGTAAGTTTCTACTATGTGTGTATACACTGATGGAAACATCACGGCTATTAAGGGGCCTTTGTATCAATGAAGCTGAGACTTAGAGAAACCTGAAAACATCGACTGGGGCCAAGGGTAATGAATGCCAAGTCTCTACCATAGACTTTACAGCCCAAGTTCCAGCCGAGGAAGCAAGCACTATGCACCAGTGTGGAAAAGTACGGCGCCTTTGAACCTCCTTGCTTAGTTCTTCAGTAAGAGGGTTGTACATAATGATCCAGATGTGGTTTTCAACTTTAAAATACTGGCCATTTTCAATCAAGTATACCTTATCACTGTTAAAAAAATTAAGAATCACCTCCATTTCTGTTAAAAATGATACTTTTCCCTTAGAATGTCTCTTCTCTCCCGCCCAAGAGTACACTTGTGTGAGAGCTATAGGATTACATATCGTAGGTCGTCGTGGTACTAAAGGGATGTTCTGCAGCTTCGCTCCTGTTTCTCACTCACAGATATTGAAGCTCCACTTGAATGCGGGTTGTTACAATTAAGCAACCCCGTATTACACACTGAGGAGTTATAGAAGGTGTTAAAACTGTGCCTTTTTCCTTTTCCTAGGAAACCTGTGAAGTGGAATAGTATGAGCTGGAGCCATCCAGAATCTGCAGGAAGATCCTGGGGGGAATTGGTGAGACAGGAACTTCTGTTTTCTTCAGAAACAGAAATTGTGTAATTATTTTTCTGACTGTAAGCTCCATAGCCTTGAGCTACAGGAGGCACTTTCCGGTCTTTTACATTTTTAAAGCTTAGTTAGCTCGTATTAGTTTTAATCACTGCTGTATTCTTTACTTGTCCTAAAGAGCACAGCTTTTGTCTATTCATAGTGATGTAAGGACAGGCCCGTCTACCTATGTGGGGAGCTTCCTTGATGCTTCAGATGTTATCAGCAATATCTAGAATATTGTAGCCCATGATAAATGAAATACACCAATATTAATATATAGGCATATTTTGTTGTTTGCTGAGTATATAATGTCTTTATGTGACATTGGAACTGCATTGGAATGTTCTAAGACTTGAAAAATTATTTTCTATAATTCCAGTCTGAGGAAGAAAGAATATTTAGACTCTCCAAGTTCTTCCTTTACATAGCTGTTAAATCCAAGGCAACTGTGTCGAAAGCATGAATAATGATGCATCTTCTTCACGATCATCCAGCCCACTTGAAAGGTAATTTTTAAGGGTAATTTAATATGCTTTGAAGTGTGCACACTATTAGTGAACACTCAGTTTAGGTTTCATTCTGTCTTGAAGCTGCATGGCCTAGGGAAGTAATCCTGAGTAAAAGAGTCAATTTCTACATTGCATTCTTGGGGCTTTGGTGAGGCCTAGTGAGACTTCCATACCCATGATAATGACACCTGAGACAATCACCTTTGAAACGTGAGAGACTCTCGGCTCAGTTTTCAGGGTCTGAGTGTGCCTACACTTTTTACTTTGAGCTGTGGGGACAAGGCAGCATCGTATGTTGAGTGCTCTCTTCACTGCATAATGACCAAGAAGCAGGTCTCAGGGTCCCTTTCAGAACCATCTCCATAGTGATCTGGTGTCCCGGAACTAGGCCTTGCGTCTTAAGGTACCACCAGTCTCTTCCCAGTAGCACTCCAGGCTAGTAGCCAAGCCTTTTAACACAGAGGTCTTTGAGGGACACCTCCAAACCATAATATATTGTAAATCAATATACAGAGCAAACCCTGCATTCTCTTTAAAATTCCTTGTACAGATTGTGGTTCTTTGAAAATCTGGTGTAATTTTTTTGAATTTATATAAGATTAGCTTTTTCTGACTAATTATCCCCAAATGTCTTAAAAACAGTAAGACTTTCTTTTTCCTATAGTTCTGTGGGTTGACTGAGAAATTCTGGTTGGCAATAATTGTCATAACAGTGTATGACACCTCAGCTCAGAAGGCCAGGCAGCTGAATTCACTTTCTACCTGTTCTTTCATCCTTCAGAAGGCTAACCTGGGCCTTGTCAAACAGTAGCAGAATGGCTCCTAGCAGGCAGCATAAATGTTTTATGAATATCTGTATTCCTCACATTTGACTTTGCTGATATCCTGTAGACCAAAGCAGTCGAATAGGTGAGTTCAAATTCAAGTAGTAAAGATAATGATGACTTTCAGAAAGGCCCCTACCAAGAAGCATGTAGATGGCAACCAGAGAAACTGGTAAATATTTTGTAAACATATATTAAAGTATGTTTTACAAGGTTCAATCAGGAAATATCTCCTCTAATTCTTGTCCTTTCCCGTGCCCTCAGTCTTCCTGTAAATAATCATTGTTATTCTTAGGACTTTTTTGGTTCTCCTTTTTGCCTAAGAAAAATGCATATATATGTGCATACACAAAAATATATATAGACATGTATGTATGTATGATTTCACATTCCAGAATAGCCTAAAATGAAAGTGTACATGTGTGTGTAAACAACTAGGACAGAGGATTATATAAATATTAAATTTATTAGCATTTTATGTTTATATCTCTTCGCAAAGGTCAGTCAACAATGTGGACACATGCAGCCAAGATGTATTTCTAACTTTGCTTAAGTTTTGTTCGACCAGCATGCTCAAAAATACAGCTTGGTGACATGCTATTTGTAGAATTATCCTGAGAGTTCCTTTTTGATGGCACTTCTCTCGTGTGCCAGAAATTACAGCTAGAGTGTTTTGTAACAATAAAATACTCTTCCTAAATTAAAAGAATAATTTTTGAGTTTCACATGGGAGTAGATTCCTTTTGTTTTAACTACTACAACCATGAAGTTGCTTATCTGTATGTTAACACATTTGGTTTTAGAGCCTCCACTGTAATCTTCTAAACAACGAAAATCAAACAAATCTCATCACTTATCTACATCTCTGAATTAACCTAAGCCACATTAACCCGTCTTTACTCCTAAGACGTAAGCATTGCTGCTGTCACTGTTTATGTAAGAACTGAACACACTGGTAAAGAATTCATTTCACTTCTATGATATGCTTCAAATGTCCTTGATAGTAGACATAAGCTATTGGGTTATCTAAGTCTGACAATTTTATTTAATAAATAGCTTATAGAAAACTCTATATACAGATCTCTAGTCTAACCTATTAGTGCTAATATACTTCGTCCTAGGGATCCTGCCTTTCGGGTGATTACAGTTACTAAGGAAACAGGTCTAGGTCTGAAGATCCTAGGCGGAATTAACAGGAATGAAGGACCGTTGGTGTATATTCACGAAGTCATTCCTGGAGGTGACTGTTACAAGGTAAACGTAACTCCACATGCCCCGTCCCATCCCCCCAAAAAGCCAATAATGACAAAATCCCACCAATGCCAAGATTTGTTTTTTCTTCATCAGTAAATTTTTTATATAAGTTTAATGACCTCAGTGAACGATATAAGGGAATCTTTACCTTCAAGGATGTTTGCTCTAAAAATAAATTCTCCAAGTATGCAAATAATAAATTTGTCAAACTCTAACTAAAGGTCACACATTGCTTAGTTACATGCTGTTGAACTCATCTCTGAAGCAGAGCTCATAGAAGGTATATCTGCAGACATGTTGCCAGTGTGCCTGGTGAGTTAGGATCACGTTGGTTACCTGAGATTGAGCTGTATCAATTTAGCCATTAAATGCAAAAACAGAAAAAAAAAAAGAAAAAAAAAGAAAAGGGAAAAGAAAAAGAAGAAAGAAAGGAAGGAAAAGAAAGATAAAAGAAGAAAGAAAGCAACAAACTAAACTGTCTCATTTCCTGATTTGCAGTAATTCTCACTGACTTGCTAGTTGACATTATTTGTCTATAAGAAACTAGATTCAGCATCTACATGAGAAACTAGATTTAGAATTAATAGCAGAAGTATCTAGCCTTTGGTCCTTAGTCTTGTCCTTGGTATAGAAAGTATGTGACAGAGCACCCGGTTCTTTATCTGGTGGACCAAAGCTTACTCAGCACCAAATTGTAAACAAAACTCAACAGTTTACTTAATAAACAGGCTATGCTATTGGCATTATCGTCTCTTTGCAGTTTTATTTATATCAACCTAGATATCATGATAAAGGATCTTATAAGCTTATTCTTATCATTGTTCCTTGGGGGTGGGGTGTTAAATAAACAGTCCCACTTTTGCCAGTCTCCCATTGCAGACACTTGAAAACAGTTTGTCTTTTCAGTTGGGTTTTTATTTCCTCCCTATGGAAAAAAAAAGTGACTTTCACCAAAGTCATGGTAATGACCAAGCTGTTTTAGGTTTGTTCATCTCACAAGGCATCTGTGTCGGCTCATTCTGTGTCAGCTTGACACAAACACTATAATACTCTGAGAGGAGAAACAGGCAATTGAGAAATTGTCCCTGTAAGATCAGGCTGTAGGGAAGCTAAGGTCTTTTCTTAATTACTGTTTGATATATGAAGGTACAGCCCATTTTGGGGTAAGGACACCCTTGGGCTGGTGATCCCAGGTTCACTTAGAAAGCAAGCTGGGCAAGCTGTAAGGAGGAAGCTAGTTAGGAACACTCCTCTGTGGCTTCAGCATCAGCTCCTGCATGCAGGGTCCGTCTCTGCTTGAGTTCCTGCCTCCACTGTCCTCAGGGATGTTTAAGTGAATAAGCCCTTTCCTCCACACATTGCTTCTGAGTATTTCTTCACAACAATAGAGACATTCAACATCTCTCCAATATACTTTTTACGTTCTAACTTATTACTGGTTTAAGGTATACAATGATATATATACATTTTAGCTATTCAAATTAAATTATTAGCCAAATGGCCGTTTAATGTTAAAGATAAACAAATTGAAGCCCCTCCCAACAATCCTTTTGGTAAGAAGTGAGAAGCTCACTCTCACTTCATTAGGGCGGGAGGATGAGAGACGTGGGGCATTTAGTATAGTTTAAGTTGTTTGCTTGCTTACTTGTTTGAGACAGAGACTCTAATGCTTTAGTCCTAGTGTACCTGGAACTCGCTGTGTCACCCACACTAGCCTCCCAACTCATGTCAGTCCTCCTACCTCAGCCTCCAAATGTTCGAGTTGAAGGCCCAGGCCACCATGCCTTGCTGATTGAGATACTTGGGGTAGGGTGCAGGAGTAGTGCAGGGTGCCTAGGAAATAGTATGCTTGTGTTTAAAACAAGGAACGATTTATTCTTTTTATTTCCAAAAATATTTAAAATTAAACTAATAAATTAAAAGTAGTAATTTTAAATGGCTCTGTATCTGCAGTAAACCATAGCAGATTAAAAACTCTGCTCCTGATATATATACTTTTTCTTGTTAGTTGAGGTGTGCTGAAAGGCAAAAAAACTTCTGATGGACTGTTTACTTCACTTACCACTAGAGAGCAGTGTGGAGTTATTAATGTTCAGGTCATGTGCAGAAGAAGAAAACCAATTAGAAAAAAAGTGTACAAGGATAAATAATTCTTGGCTTCTTATATTTATTTTAATATTCCTTAAGATGGAATGCTGAGTAAACACACAGATGCAATTTTACTGCAACTTCTTTTGATAATAATATGCTTCTAGGGACCTTTTGAGAGCAAGTCTCAAAATAAAGATAGATAGATAGATAGATAGATAGATAGATAGATAGATAGATAGATAGATAGATAGGGTTGCTCAAGCTGGCAGATGGATCAATTATTAGTTATTTTTAGAATTTCATGTGTCCTTTAACTTCCCCCCTCTGTCTCTCTCTCTCTCTCTCTCTCTGTCTCTGTCTCTCTCTCCCTTTGTGCGTGTGTGTGCACGCGTGCGTGCGTGTGGTGTGTGTGTGTACCTGGTTGTCTGTGTGTTTGCCAAATGTGTGCAGTACCTATGGATTTCAGAAGAGGACATCAGGTCCTCTGTAGCAGCAGAATTCATGTTGGCTCTAAGAGCTCCAGGTAGCTGTACACTGAGAACAGATGCACCAGGTTCTGAATAAGGAGAGGTGAGCATCTGAAAGCCCTCTCTACCCCATTAGCTAGTCTGTGGCAGTCTAGAGTCCTCACAGAACATCCTAAGCCTCTTGTTCACCTCAGTACTCCCTTGATCTTCTTACCTCTCTAACTTCCTGGTCCAAGTCTCCACTTAGTTCTCCTGGAGGTATTGTAGAAGCAACCTTTCTGAGGCACAATCTGTGATACTTAACCGTACACCTTCCTCTTGCGTCTTCGCAAACAGCAGTCTCTTTTTAACAGCTGTTCAAAGCTGTTTCTCAATCACTTCCTTCTTCCCCTATCATTAAAAACTATATCCCATCTATCTTAGTATATACTGCTGACCTTTTTACTATCTCTTAAACCCATTAATCCATCTGTCAGCCCCCCACTCTGTGTGTGTGTGTGTGTGTGTGTGTACACATATGTGTGTGTCTCTCTCTGTGTCTGTCTGTCTGTCTGTCTGGTGTACGTGTGTATGTTTACTGGTTACTTTACATGTATGTATACATGAAAATGATGGAGGCCTGAGGTAAATGTCAAGCATCTTTATTTGTCACTGTCTACCTTAATTTTTGAGACAATGTCTATTTTTTTCCTTTTATATATTTTATTTTTATTGGATATTTTATTTACATTTCAGATGTTATCCCCTTACCCCATTCCCCCTCCTCCTGCCCAGGAACCCCATATCCCAACCCACTCCTCATGCTTCTATGCATATGTGCCCCCTCCTACACCCTCCACTCCCACCTCCCCACCCTCAACTCCCCCTCACACACACACACAGCCTCCAGACTTCATGGGACCAAGGATCTCCTCTCCCACCTTTGCCCAACAGGGCCCTCCTCCCTTACATATACAGCTGGAGCCATGGGTCCCTCCCTACGTGCTCCCAGGCTGGTGGTTTAGACCCTGGAGGCTCTGGTTGGTTGGTATTGTTGCTCTCCTCATGGGGTCGCAACCCTTTTCAGCTCCTTCAGTCTTCACTCTAACTCCTCCATTGGGAACCTCATGATCAGTTCAATGGTTAGCTGTGAGCATCCTCTGAATATCTCAAGCTCTGGCAGACCTCTAAGGAGACAGTTATATCAGGCTCCTGCCAGCATGCACTTCCTGACATCCTCATCAGCATTTACCTTTGGTGACTGCACATGGGATGGATACCCAGGTGGAATGGTCTCCAGTTGGCCCCTCCTTCAGTTTCTGTCCTACACTTTGTCTCCATATTTGCTCCCATGAGTATTTTGTTACTCCTTCTAAGAAGGACCAAAGCACCCTTACTTGGTCTTCCTTCTTCATGAGTTTTATGTGGTCTGTGAGTTGAATCTTGGGTATTTCAAGCTTCTGGGCTAAAATCCAATAATCAGTCAGTGAATACCATGTGTGTTTTTTTGTGATTGGGTTACCTCACTCAGGATGGTATTTTCTAGTTCCATCCATTTACCTAAGAATTTCTCAAATTCATTGTTTTTAATAGCTGAGTAATACTACATTGTGTAAATGTACATTTTTTGTATCCATTCCTCTGTTGAAGGACATCTGGGTTCTTTCCAGCTTCTGGCTATTATAAATAAAGCTGATATGAACATAGTAGAGCATATGTCCTTGTTATATCTTGGAGCATCTTCTGAGTCTATGCCCAGGAGTGGTATAGCTGTGTCCTCAGGTCCTCTTATTACTCCTAGATCTGGCTGATTAAACTAGCTTGGCTAGAGCACATTGGCTCTAAGGATCTACCTATCCCTGCCTTCCCAGTACTGGAATTGCATGCACTTTATTATGTGTGTGTTGGGAGTCTATACTAGGGCTCTCCTGCTTGCAGAGCAGGTGGTTTTTTGACTGAGCCATCTCTCTAGACTCTCTTTCTTTAGGCTGTCGTTGGGTTTTATTAGTACTCTTGGTAGCTTTATCTGCTCTTAATGCACCTTGCTTATTTCCTCTCCCACCAAACTACCTTAATATTATTAGTAACCTGTAAGCCCCTGTGTAGACTACCTTCTGCTTTCAGCTCTTCTTTTTCTCCATCTCTACCCTTACAAACTTGTCTTCCCTCTCTTTCTGAAAGAGCTATTCCTGCCTTATCTTGGTCTAGGTATATTGTTTCATTAAGCAGAGAACAGCACCTCCTTCCCAGTCTACTGTTCCAGATATCAGTTTATAGAGCAGTTGGCAGAGGACTGGTTTCCTGTCCTCGGTGCAAGTGCAGATAAGGCCAGGTTTTGTTGTTCCTGTGTGTGTGGCTAGTTCTTGTTCCTGGGCTTCGTATCACATAGCTCCATTTGTAATGGTGCATCTGTGTCTCTGATTGTTTTAGCTCAGCTAAACCACACTGGTCATTATACCTCTT